TCAAAAACATTAAATGATGCTGAAGAACATTCACATCTGAAGAACTTTCACATCTGCATTTGCGTCTGATGTTAGTTTTTTATCTCTGACATCACATTCACTATTAAGACACTGTTTTCATGGATAGTTTTAAGTTGAGAATGTGTAACTGCATTATCATATTGTATGGTTTGAAGTTCAATGTTGTTTTCTACTTGCATGTCATGACACACAGGGTAAGGCGTATTTTGTGTGACATTGTTAAAATGACTGTTACAGTCTTCAGAAATCTGTGCTCTTTCAAATGCTGATGACATTTTGCAATTGTCCTCATTGCAGGAATGTTCACTGGTAAGTTAAAATACTGTTAATAACCATCCATTTGGAAAACGTTGCAATGACTTTATATCAGGAAACTCTTAATATAGTTTTACAAAGATCATCAAAATATTGGCACTTGTTGTCCTGATTGTAAAAAACACAAGTGAAATGTTTATTGGAGCATCGAACCATAGCATTTAAACCATACCAACTACCGTCAACTTCAATATTGTCATAAATTATCGGTCCTCCCATCATTTCAGGAGGAAATGATTTGAAAAAGAGATTTTAAAAGAGAAAATCATTTGAGTTAACTGCAGATTTCACCAATGGATCATTTGTTGATGATCCACAGTCAGTACATCTTAACTTTCCAGGTTTCAAATGCATCCTTGAAACATACAATGGCCAGGAAATCTTATCTATTCCAAACTTTTGTGATCCAGACTGTGTTACATACGTCAGAAATATTCTACAATAAGATTCAAATGGTGTCTAAGTCTCAAAAAGACTCAATTCCATTGCATTCAATCGGCTTAAAGTGTTTTTCTCAAATAGTTGATTGAAAAATGCATTGCAATCTCTCTGCTGAAATGAAGTGCATTGTTCTATGGGGTACAGCCACACTTGTCACGAATCTCTGCACGAAGTTCCTTATTTCCATTGCATTGACAGTAATGTGACAGAGCACTAAACAGTAACCCTGGAAATTCACTTCTAACAGTTAGTTTCGACAGAAAAGGAAGAAACAAGTGTGTAAAAATCTCCAAGAAACAATCAACTGCACAAGAATAAGTTCCAGGTTTGATAAAGGCAGAATTCATGAAATGCGATACAACCATACGCCTTTGCTTCATAATAAAAAATCTCACCTATTTCACCTCTAAAATCGAGTGACTCGTTATTGATGTTGTTTACGTCCCCATTTATTTTACTTTCATTGATTTCATCTAGTAACGTAACCTTTGCCATGAGAACAGTTTTCAGACTTGCGTCTCAGTGTTATTTAAACAATAGCTGATACCTTAAGCAGGTACTACCACTCTGGGTCAGAGGGGCAACTCCACATTCCCCACTACCTCAGTCATCCCTGACTGTGGTCTTGCCACTGAATGAAGTTTAACGTCTTACCAAGGACAGTAACCCTTAATGTTCTCGCCTTGCACAGTTCTCCCGAGTTCTTTACTGGGTCATGAGGCTTCAATATGTCTTCGTTCATTTTTTTCTATTAACAGAACAACAAATGCTGAGAAGGACACACATGTAAATAAATGTCAAAACCACTTATTACCCGTACCGCACAGTTTCTGACTTTTTACTTAATTTCACCTTTCTCAGTGTTTTCTTCACTTGGTTTTCGACCGAGTCTTTCTGTCGCTCTTGTGTGTGATTTGTGTCTGACAAATCACAGAGGTTGGACTGACTCTTTCAATCCAGCAATCCAGCAATCGAACTTACGAACTTCCTATAAGTACTTCGGACGCTCTATCACTGGGCTCTTTCAGACTCGTGGCAAGTTTGGTGACAAAGTTCCGGCATGTTGCGAGAATAGGAATGTCGATATGCGATTCCTATGCCCAATGATCATGTAAATGAAGATGGTTAATATTAAGCCTGGTGATTTAAAGTTAAGGAAGATGTTATTTACTGAATTACACAAGCATTAACAGAGAAAAAAAACTCCAAGTGTTCGCGATAGGACTCGCTCATGCGACCTTCCAATTAGTACTTTAGACTTTCCACCACCTAAAGGAAACCCATGACAAGCTAAAGCCGTGGTGACAAACTACGAGGATAAGAATGACTATATGTGATGCCTATGCGTAGTGATGATTTAAAATGAACATGGTAAATAGCTATATAAACCAAAAATTAATGATCAGCCCACTTTAGGGTCTAGTAGGACGGTGTGTGTGTTTAGTATTGTGCAGTATATATCTTGTTGGACGTTTTGATGTGTAGTATCACTGAGTAATTTTAAGAGTTGTGCTGTATTTGGACGAGCCCTTCGCAGTCGAGTCAAAACACATACAACGAGTTAAAATACTAGCAGTATAAAACATGAAATGTCTTGTTATTTATTTCATTTTTTTCGCATTTCTTTAAGGGCAGGAAAAGCAATGCAAATAGAGAGCTTAGCCCGCGCAATCGACCGGTTAAACAGGTTTTTACAGTTTTGTGACGAACTTTTAAGGTTACTGTCAACAAAGTATGGTACCTCCCGGAAAAAAACGTCCTACGTGCGCACCTTAAAAGAAACCATGGAAAGCTATATATCAATGTAAAGCTTATAAAGTATAGACTCTGATAATGAAAAAATTTTGAACATAAAACTACTGAATTACAAGCCTCCGCGTTACTGCCGACCTCAAAACAAACTGGACATGCGGTCATGCCGCCAAGCAGTAAAACGCGACATCGAACCCCCTGGAAAGTCTCGTGATAAAGAACTCCTTTGAAATTCCCAGGAGAGGTCATTTCGCGAAAGAGAGAAAACGAATCTACCTTGAATTAAACGAAATCCAAAAACTCATCGGGAAAAATAGAAGGAAAAGTGGGCAGAGCAAGCTAAGGGAAAAAAATTTTACTTTGATTTCTAATTTTTGGACTCTTCTTTCTCGACGTTTTCCGAGAGGTGCCAGCCATCCCCTTTAGTTGTGCAGTGCAAGGAAGCAAACTATGCAAATCGAGATCCTGGACGAAAGCCCGCGGAAAACGTCAATTCTCTGCTAGAGGCCTTTCCGATTATGACACCATCCGCTTTTTACTACAGGTTACTTTCAGCCATATCTAGTTTTTTACGATATTACATTTTTCTCCGACAAATTAAACTCAACTGCTTTCTCTCACTAAAGAACAAAGATAAACGAAATTTTGAAAATCTTGACCCGATTTGTTGACAGTAACCTTAAACTGTCAGCCAGCTAATTTGAAGTCTCACAGGTTCTTTAATGATGGGGTACCAGGAAACCTTTTCTAATGACGTTTCAAAAGGGGCCTAGCAAATTGATCCAACTGGAAAGATGATAGGCCCTTTTTACCTCAATTTCGTTTACGTAGGGAATCGAGTTTTTTCAACCCAGCAATATCTTGACTACAGCTGTCTCTGTGTGATTCCTCTTCTGATAAATTTAATGAGCGCCTCCCTCGTACAAGATGCTTTATACAATTTCTTTCTTCAAATGAATGTTTTTCTATGGATATCCCTAATTGGCTCATATTCACAATGTCCCCTCATCATCAATTGTTGACATGATGAAATTCCAGAATTTCACTGAAGTAAACTAGGGGAAACACAAAATTTCAAACTTCGTTCTCCTATCAGCTGAAGAGAATCTGGAATTTCGCAAATCAAAATCTCAGAACATCTCTTTGCTTCAATTACATGATTTATTAAACACAAACTATTTAAAGTTAAAATGACTTGCAACTGCGTTGGGATTAACTACCGTTGCCTCATTGTATACGTTGCTAATGATACTAACTACACTGTGCAACGCTGCAACTACTTTCATCATAAACACTTACCTGCAGAACTGACTGAAGATCTCAAGACAGATTTTGTATCTATTAGAGAAGTATTACTTTTTAACCTCCAACCCCTTATTGCTGCGGATACTAACAGCAATTGTTAAGCATTCAAGTCGTCAAATTTTGACGCTGTTTTTCACTTTAAGAAGGTCGAAATTAAAATTCGACAGGTTAATAAGTCGCTCATGACAAATAGACTCTATCAATATAAGTCCTAAAGTCGTTTTTAGTTCAGCTTCATATCCGATGCTAAAAGTGGGGGTGAGCGGGGGGGGAGGTGATGGGGCACTTGTACAGATTATTGCTCCGGTTTGAAGCACAAATGTCTTAAAAGTAATCGGGTCTATTTGATCCCCTGCACATCAACTATTAAATAAAAGTCTAATTATCAAAAAAGCTTTGGGTGAGAAATCAATACCGGCCAGAAATAGAGTGAAAAACGAAAATAAATCAGTCACTTTAGCTGCAGTACCCGTGGAGGGAACGTTTAGTCCTGCAAATTTTGATAAAATAACGTATTAGAAAATCCCTCAGTTTCATCCTTGGTCATGACCACAATGATTTCTCGACTATAACAACCGCAAGTCACGTACAGAATAGCATAATGAAAACACTCTTTCGTTCTTTGCGTTATATACGTATGTACGCTTCTTCGTCGGTCATATGGGTGTTAAATTGGTCAAACATATGCAAGATAATAATCGATAGAGCGGTTAAGTTATAGCCGGCTGTTTTATTTATTGAAGATACAAGCTTTTCCTTGTAACTTGGCTTCCACCGCCTTGTCGTTTAAGTGAAGTCAATGCACATGGAGTACGTAGAGGCCAGATAGTGCGATCTATAGAATTGTACTGATTTTTTTTTTCTTTCGATGGTCTTAGACCTATCTTTGAAAAAAATTGTACCAAACAAATATATAGCAAGCTAAAACGATTTCATGCATTGAAGGTTTCAAACAAGCGTTCATTTCTCCTTTTTTTTCTTTCGCAAGGAAACGGCTACGCTTTGCCGAATCCCTATGATGATCTTTTTCCTTGGATGAATCTCTTTCTGTAAGTCCCCGTGACGTAGTTTCCTGGCGAGTCATGACATTACATACATGTTACAAGAAACAAGACTCCTTTTCAGAAGAGCACCGCTATAGGTATAGTGCAGGCTCCATGCAAGAACAACATGGCGTCCAAAATGGCGGCACAACAGATCAATGACAACAGCAACGAGTCGGTGAGACTGAGAGTTTTTCTGCGCCTTAGACGGTAGTCCTTCATGGCCGAGGTGCCAGTTCTTCATCCTCTCTGAAATTTAGTAGTGGAGCGATTTCCTTTGTTGAAATGCTTTCAAAGTATTCATCAAAACGAGTGACACGCTCAGAGATCATAGCACATACAGCTTTCTTTCTGAGCTTTATCGTCACCATAACAGCTCACGACTGTCACCGCAGGCTGGAAACCGTGTGGCAGTCAGATGTTGGATCATCTCCTGTCGTATCAAGCGCTCTTGTGGCGGACTTCAATGGCGATAATGTTAGAGATGTCCTTGCCACTTCCTTGGATGGTCAGGTATCAGTTGTTGATGGACGGTCAGGTCTTAACCTTGCTGGATGGCCAGTAACTCTACCCGGAAAACTCTTATTCGCTGCACCTCTACTGGTATCTAGAACGTTTTATGTGGTTTCTATGACAGTTTTGTCGTAATATATAGAGATTCATGTAATTCCCACTCTGCTAGAACACGAATACAAAGGGTCTGTTTCTTACTTATCCCTGATGCTGCTGAAGAAATTTGTTGTCATCATGAGTAATGACTGATCATGTTGTTCTTGTTTCAGTTTGATTATGACAGTGACGGGATGAATGAGTTAGTTTTGGTTACAGCAGATGGTGTTGTATCCTTTGTAAAGAATGATGGTTCCTTTCTAGAGGGAGAGACATTTAAGGTATTAAAAGTTGCTTTCTTTGGATAATTCTATTCCCAAAATTTAAAGTTTTGCCTTTTTAAAGAATCACAACATGCCTTATTAGGTTATGAGTTAAACATCCTGGTAATTGTCATGTGTCACATCTTCTTGGTGTCATGAATGGGTATTGAACTACATTTGTAGGGAAGGTTATTAACCTTTTAACTCCCAGAGGTGATTAACATGTAACTTCTCCAAATAAAATCATTATCCAGAAAGCAGGTAATGAGAATACTCAAATTTATCAGGTAAAGTTGTTCAAGTTGTTCTATTAAAGCAAGGCAAAGTAACATATCTGCTATTGGTTTGTGGAAATGCAAACTGGAGATAAATTAATCAGAAGAGTAATGCTTGCACATGCAGATGAATTCTTTGCCTCTAACTTCCACCCAATTTTTAAAGTTAACATATCAATTACCTACAAAGAAATAAGACAACTTTACAGCCAGTGGGTTCAGGTGTGACTTAAATAAACAATAGTCTCTATTTGGCACAAAAATATGGGCAGATATATTTGTCCACGGAAATTATCCGCTCTAAGACGTGAACAGGTTTCTGAGAGTGAAGCTTGAGGAAAACTGTTAGTTTCAAGAAACAGATCGTGTCCAAGGACAAATATTCTAGTATTTTGCCAAATAGAGGCTATTGTACTTCTTGTATCCTTCAATTCTTTTTTTGCAACAAGTAGAAAAATGTTTACAAAAAACTTACTTTTCAGTGTTCTCTGGTATGACTTTATGAACAAATGAATGTTTCCCTTCTTCTGTAAGAATGGCTAAATTAAATTCATCTTGAATTAAATTGAAAACAAATGCTTTTATTGTAGTAGATGTAAGGTTTGAAAATATGGCAATATTACTTAGGATATATCTTCACATATTCCTTAGTTTTAACTGGAACATACTGCATCACATGACATGTTGAGACCAAATGTGCACAAGCACAAGATGTATTTGATGGATTATAATCACTCTTATCTTGATATTCTTTATTTCTTTTTAGGTTCCACCATTGGTGATGAAGCGAGATTGGTTTCTGGTGGATCCTAAACAGATTTCCAACAGAGACTACATCAGTTCTGTTTCAAATCCTGCAAAGTCAGCCAGACTTGCTTTCATATCAGAATTTATCCATGATAATCTGAAGGTACCCAGTAGTTAGGAATAAAAAAAATTTTTTGCATAGCTAAGACTTCTATGAACTCACAAGTAACATGAACATGTAGCTTGTTTAGTTTAGTTAGCCTATGGTTACAATGTACATTACTTATAGCAAATACACTTGTCTTTTTAATATTTTAACAGTTACTTGGCAAAGTAGAATTGAATATTGCAGAATTACCTCCAGTATCCACTGATTGTGAGACTAATAATTATTCTTTTGTATGAGTGGTTATTATCAGAGGAAAATCATCAATTTTTTCTGTTATTGAAGCCATTCAGGGGTAAAAATGGAAAGCATAGGGAACACAAATGTATTTGTTACAATTGTTTTGGTTACTCATATCACAATAAGCAACCAGTTACCAAGAGCAGATTCCAGATTCTTGTGTTTTGTGGAATGGAATTTTCTTATATCACTTTTTATCTCTTCTTTGGTAACATTGACAAAATGCAAGACAGCCATTTTGAAATTTGACACCCCTACTGTATTCACCTTGTGTGATTGTGGCAAGATAACAGTCAATCCTTGACCAATCATAGTGTGAGAATCTCTATAATCATGTGAGCAATTATACTAAGTTGAATTAAACTGAGAAAGAGGTCCTGTAATCTGAGTGCTTAACACTGCCTGTGTTTATTCTGATCTCTGTAGTCTAGAGTAACTAGGAGTACTGCCACACCTCTTGTGCTCGGATACTGTTTTCTTTTTGAGAATGAGACAAGACATTGTAACCCAGTGCAATTCCTCCTTCAGGGGTTGAACATAGATCTCTTATTATGTAGTTCACTGCTCTGACTACCAGTCAATGTTGACTATTAAATGATGCTTTTGATCAGCAAACAATATCTGAGGCAGGAAATAGTCATACAGGTGGGTTGCAATTAACAAAAAGAAGCCTGAAAAATTCAGGCATTGTAGCCCACCTGTGAGAATCATTTCTTTCAAAGAATTTTAAGGAAAGAGTAATTTGCTTGCATTCCCCTTACTGAGAGAGTACAGTGTACTTCCAAATAAAATCCCAATTCCCAGAATTAATTTTCTTTTTTTACCAAGGGTAAACAGCAGTATTCAAACTCAAGCATTGACCATGGTCCAGGAGACAGTTTTTGGTCCAAATATCATCCAGGCAGACGCCCATCTGGTTTATCATCGGATGGCATCAGTGTCTTTGTAGACCCTCACATTCTGTCCACTCCACTCATCACAGACTTCAATGGTGATGGAACTGAAGACGAACTTGTCATAGTGACCAACTTCTATTTTGAAGAGGAAAGGTATGAAGTGAAACTTTTTGTCACCAGACCTCTGCTCCTTTTTTAAATTTAAAGGAGCTATGCTGTTGATCTGCATCTGAATTATATCCAGTGCCAAAATTTTCTGCTTTTACCCATGGTACATTCTTTTAAATTTCTATCCACATAGATTTTAACTGCCAGCTATTTTTGACATTGTAATATTGCTTCTAAAGTACTTCCCAAAATACATTGGCATACATTATGTTGAGTTTTTTAACTTAAATATGTTATCTCCATATCTAAATGAACAAGTTAGTTGTAAACGTAACTCTTTGTTTCTTGTGCCATTTTTTTCCCTTCTCACAGCCAGTTGGCTGTATCAGAACAAGGATTATCATCAGAGGATCTTCAAAATTATTTGGGAAGTGCCATAATTGTGTTCAATCTTCACACAAAACAGCTTGTGTTCTCATCAATTTTGCATGTGTCCAGGGTAAGTAAGTCTTTGTGTTTGTACAGTTTGTGACTGACTTATTATGAAAAATCACAGACTTTTACTTTACTTCTGAATAAGATTGCTATCAGCTATGGTGTTGAGGACTTGTGTTTCAATGGAAATGCATTAATTAGTTTTTGGTTACAATGTACAGTATTTGGTGGCAAATCTACAGGAAAGATCAGACTGATTTAAAAAACTTTAAACTAGTTTAGGTTTTATATCCATCCAACTTCTTAACCTCTCAAGGAAATTTGTACCTTACCATATATACATGTAGCATTTCAGAAGGTTTAAAAGGTTATGCCCCTGTTTCTGATTGGAGGAATTAATCATTTTGTTTCTTTCAATCTGCTTTTATAGGCCATTATTATAAAAATTGGCAGCTGCATATTTCTGTGAAATAAGATCTCTAGTTTTATTCTTCACTCCTCTAGTTTCAATCTTATTGAAAGGCACAATACAGTACATGTAGAACTCCACTAACTCAAACTTTAAAATCAAACATTCAAAGATTAACCATCTGGATGTTGATTTTCTGAATACTTCTCTAATGCGTAGAGGTTTTACAATGTGTTTGTTTTGTGCTGGATGAAAAAGACTCTAATTAAGGCCCAGCTTACAGCCATTATGTGTAGGAGAGCAATTTGCAGTTTTAGGCTGTCTTCTTAAAATTTGATGTGAACTCAAATTTTTGGAACTTTGCCAACATGGTGTTCTATGTACATTAAGAATTTACTTGAATAAATTCACTAGGCTGGAATATTCAAAATGAGTCATGTACAACAGAGTGAAGAATGCTAATAATGAACATAATTTAAGATTTTTTTTTGTTCTGCAGAAGCCTAGTCAGTACCCTGCTTATGCTCTGTCCTCTGGTTCTGCCATTCCAGGAGGTGGGATTGTTGTGGGAACATCCTCAGGAACTGTTTACTTTATAAAAAGCTCCTTAAATGAACCTTTGTCCCTTAGTACCATGGACAGTGTACCTGGCCAAGTAAGTAAATATTTGAATCCCCTTAATCTATGATAAGTACATGTTAAGCTCCGGGCTGGAAACTTCTAGTTTAGTACAAAACCTTTTTGTGAAGTGTTTATTTTGTCTCCTGAATTGGAGACCTATCTTTTGCTGATATTTATTACTTCTGTGTAACTTGTACGAATGACTAGAATTTAAAATGAATCTTGAATCAAAATGTAAATGTCATGAGAATAATTGAAATGATCACCAATTTAAGAAGCTCCTGATTGTCAAACATTTTCTCCTCGTTAGTACCTTTGGAAATGTAAGGGGAAATTAGAAGTCAGTCACTCTAAGGGGTTTTGATACCGATAGCTGCTGATTATATACATCTGGGCAATTGCAATACAGGTATCCTTATCTAAATATATCATTTTCAGGTCATTATATCAGATGTGAATCAAGATGGCTTATTGGAAATTCTAGCTATAGACAACAGTGGCAATATTGCTTGCAAGGATCTTAATGGGAAAATGGTTTGTGCTGTTATCTTAATTTCCTCTCTGATAAAATGAAATGTCATTGATACGTTACATTCTACAACAAACATTTATGTTCCCCCATAGAATTCTATTTTAGACCTTCACTTTGAAGCCTTTTGGAGATGCAGTAGACTATTTGAATCTCTGATGGGCCATTTATTTTAGAGATTTGTTCCAACAAACAAATTGCTGTAGATGGCATTAGATATTTGAGTCTTGGAGCTGGTCCACTTGCCTACATCAAACCTTTTCCTTCTCAAGATCTGACATCAACATGTTTGAAATTCTCTTAACTGATGATCCAACAGTCCCTTTTCAACACATGTTGATAGGTCATTGTTGTACAGTGTGTATCATGAAAATGTGCTTTGACTGATTAGTTTTTACTTCTCTGCCTACCTGACCATTTGCAAGTGCAAAGAATTTAGCAAAAACTTTAGTTTGGCTATAATTCTTACATGATGATGTTCCTAACAGTTTAACTCCCAAGATCTGATTGGTAATTTCCCCTCTAGCTGCTACACATTTCCTCTAAAATTAGTAAAGAGAATATGGTGTTAGAATATGAAAAACAACTTCTATGTGATAAGTTTAAGTACTCGTATTAACTTTTTGCTAGATAGAGTATGGATATTATAGGGAGAAGTTACCTCTCAATCACTTCTGGGAGTTAAAGGGTTAATTCTCATTACATGTTTACAGCGTAGTGTTTAGGAATTATAATAAGAATTCACATACTGGTTATTTCTGAGCATGGAATGGTTAGAGCAGTGCAGCCAACTCCCCCTAAGAAAAGAGCAATCAGGAAGGATTCTAATTGTCCATCTTAGCCGGACAGGTGCCTTTGTTCCAGAGACTCCTAAGTCTCAGTAACACAGAAGGACATTGGGAGTCATTCATAAAGGAAAAAGTTGTCAAAGAATGAGAAGGGAACTCATCTCCTAGGGCTGATTCCTAATGACCATAAAAGGAGGTTTGACCTCCCTACAGAGGTTACCATAAAGAGAGAGTTGTCTGTATTTTTTGATTACATTTAAATTTCAGTTTTTATCCCTTTCTGCTCCCAGAAGTAATTGACATGTTACTTCTCCCCATAATATTAATACATCATCTAGCAAATAGCTACTGAGAATACTCAAACTTATCAAGTAGAAGTTGTTATCTTGACCTAGCACCCAATTCTTCATAGCTAATTTACTGACAAGAAAATGTGTACCAGCGAGAGGGGATAATTAACAATTAGATTTTTGGAGTTCAAGTGTTAACATTTCGTTTAGGTGTGGGAGGCCACAGTTTCCAGTTCAAGTGCTTCAGGAATCCGTGTTGCTGATGTGGATGGAGATGGTTTTATGGAAGCTGTTGTTGCTACGTTTGATGGGTGAGTTGGACTGTAAAAGTTACTTCAATACAGCAAGTCATTCATTTGGTAATTATGGTTGAGAAAAATACATCGCTATCAAATCTGTTCTATTGCATGTAAATTTTGTTTTTTCCTCGGTGAGTCTTTGTGAAACGTGAAGATTACGATGCACTGGTACGTGTAGGAAGAACTCACTTGATAGGAAAGTGCGAACTATTAGAACCTCCGTCCCTTTACTAGGTCTGGATGAAAATTAGGTCTAAGAAATTGCACAATGAACAAATCAGAAGGGAAAAAAGATAAACAAAAACCTTTTTCGTGAAATTGTGATGTACCTCTGACGAACACCAGCTGGAAAAATAAACGGCTTTATTTCTTAAATTGGCTTGTGTTAATCGTGTGTGAAATCATTATTTAGCATGTTTACAGTAAGGACACGTAATTCAATTTATCGAGCTATAACCGTAACACGTGATGTACTTAAAACAGGTATCTATGGGTTCTAGAAGGAGACAGTGGTAAGGTACTGGACGGATGGCCTGTCAAATTACCAAGTGAAGTACGAGCCACAGTTCTGGTTACTAAAATAGTTCCTGGAGAAAGTAGTGCCGCAGATATGGTAAGTAACCTTTGAATCACGAAGATTTTGCCACATTAGAAGATCGCCCGCTACCCAAGTGAAGTGCGAAACACAGTTCTGGTTACTAAACTAGTTTCTGGAGAAAGTCATAGCTTCTGTCTATGTCTAAAAACGTGAGGTTTTTTTGTTTGTTTGTTTTTTTTATGTGAATTTCTATGAATGAAGGTAACCATGAAACATGGACTAGAGCCATGCATCTTAAGGAGAAGCAGGTCAAGTTGCCCCGTGTTATCACTATGTGACAAGTTGATCCACATCCTTCCTTAGGTAGTTCCCCTGGTTAATGGCCAGATAGCGATCATACGGGGTATTGATCGCTGCACAGAACTGATCAATGTTGGTAAGACTGTGCTGGGGAGTATAGTTAGTGCTGACATAGTTCCAGGGAGGCCAGGTTTGGAGCTGGTGCTAGGGGCTGATGATGGGACCCTGTTGTGTTTAGGAAATGCGCCGAATGCACCGACAGATAGGTATGAACTTACTGATAATTTTGTTTTTGTTTGTTTTTGTATTTATTCAATCAAATGCGATTTTTAAAATGTTGGGCTAAATGCAATAGCGAACTTGATCAAAGTCTGATTATATCAGTGAAGTATTTACCCCACAACATCACGTTCAACAACACTCGTGCAACACTCCATGTAACCTTGCACATGAATTGAATCGCTTCATCTATTTAAATTACCAGGAAGTAAGTTGTATTCTTACGGGTGTTTCATATCAAGGATCCATAGAAATCATATTAAATTGCTGAAAGATCAGTTTTCTATGACTTATAACTAACACAGTGCATTCTATTCTATGCTGAAGAAAGGGAGATAAATAATAAATGTGTGGCACTGTATAGTACCATGCTGGTTACCCAGCACACAAAAGTTTTTCACTGTATCGCAGATATCAAGGATGCAAATGTAAGAAAATTCTTTCGTAGATTCATTCATCTAATTTGGACGTACGTAACAGAATATTCCAGTTACTTCTTTGGACTCGGCCTGAAGATCAAGATCATACTTATTACTGATTAAGAAATCAAGGTTCTATTACCTTTTACTTTCATTCTATAATTATGGAATATATGTTTGTCAGTCTTGCCCTCCCTGTAGACAGGAACGAACTGTTTTCATGGCCGGCAGAAACTTTGCCATGCAGTGGAACAACGTTTTACTCTGGGAAGGTAAACTCCCTTATCTTGACTTCAAATAATAATCTGAATTAGGACAGATTCCTAATTCAGTTCGATGACTCACCTTTGTAGCCGTAAGAAGTTGTTTCTACATGGATTTTACTAGAATTTGAAATGGAAAGAAGGCATAGTGTAGCTATGGCTCTCTTTTGTAATTTAATGTAACTTGGGCTATGTTCTGTAACAATACAAACAAAAAATTCCTGTTTTGATTTGTGGATAACGCATAGAGTGAATCATACATCCTTAATCACGCAGGAGAACTTCAATTAACGCCATTGCGGTAGACGTCTAGAAAATCTCGCACGCTATAACTGAAGCAAATTTTAGCGGTTTTTGTTCTCCCTTAAGGTATCTGATCACAATATTTAAGTAGGAGATAAATCTGATTTTCACATGTGGATAAGACATAAATTGATTCTGTGATCTTCACCGGTCAACTGTAATTAAAGTCATTGCAGAGAAAAAAGCTTGAAAAGAAATAAATAAAAAAATAAATAAAGATTCATGCCTTTAGGGGATTGTGCAGCGTCTCCATCCCCTTTGAGTGCCCAGTGATTATAAATACCCGTCGAAGCCTGAATCTTTTTTCCAAACTTTCCACTACAGTAACTGAAATTAACCTGTGAAGATCAATTGCTCACCGGTTAGAGTGATATTCACGTAGACTGTTCACTGAAGTTTTCCTTGACCCTCGTGTATTTCTTTGTATCTTGTTTCTTTTACAATCCAGGTTGGAGTACGGTTCACAACTAAATCCCTGGAAAATACACAGATTACGGGGAAATATTTTCCCATTGAGTTTGAAATCAGAGATGATCAGCCAATGGACGTGAAAGGAAAATTATACAAGTTAAAGGTTTGTTCATGAAGGGAACATTACTACCATTGACTGACTGACTAAATGACTGGCTGGCATACTAAATTACATGCTAACCGACTGCGTGACTGACTGGCAGACTGACCGGCTGGCTGGCTGGCTGGCTGGCTGGCTGGCTGGCTGGCTGACTGACTAACTAACAAACAGACTGACTGAATGGCTGGCTGACTGACTGAGTGGCTGATTGATTGATTGACGAACGGACTGACGTTCTGAGTGACTGACTGATCGACTGAAGAACGAACCAACGGTCTTACTGTCTGTGTGACTGACTGGCAAACTGACTGGATGGCTGACTGACTGAATAACTAATCGAATGACTGACTGACGAACGAACTAACGGTCTTTCTGTCTGTGTGACTGACTGGTAGACAGACTGGATGAACGAACTATCGGTCTTACAGTCTGAGTGACTGACTGGCAGACTGACTGAATAACTAATAGACTGACTGACGAACGAACTGACGGTCTAACTGTCTGAGTGACTGATTGGTGGACTGACTGGATGGCTGATTGTCTGAATAACTAATAGACTGACTGACTGACTGATCGTATGACTGAATCTCAGGTTCATTGTTATTACTGTAACTTAAGAATGTTTTTTTGTAGATTATCATTGGTAGGCGACTCATAATCAAGAAGAGTTACAAGTCTCCAGGATTATACACCGAACAAGTTGAAGTTCCATCAAAACCGTGCAGGGCTGTTGTATCAGTACAACTTTTCACCGAACACGGACAGTGCTTTCAAAGCTCTCTACATGCAAGGTACATCTGTTTGTTATTAAGTGGGCGAAAGGGCTATATTGGGAAAACATTGTGATTCTTGGTCTCGAGAACAGCCCGAGGCCACAGGCTGAGGGTCACATAGCGCTTAGTTTTTCCCAGTGAGGATCGATTTTGTGTTGGTAATATGAAATGTTTGTCTTCATTTTTCATCTTCTCATTTAATGAGACTAAGTGCCGTCCATAAACCGTTTGTAACTCCTCATATATTCACAACAAGCGACTTGGCAATACTCAAAACTGCTATGTGTTTTAAAGGAAATTTTTGTGTCAAGTCGTCGAATTCAGTTCCAGTCGTATACATGTATGCTAAATTCTTGTGTTTTGTGTCAGAAGTTGGTTTCTTAATGAAGTCTGTAAACTTTCTTCCTTCGAGCAAAAATTGTTTTAACCAATTTTGCAACCTGTACCTGTACCTGTACCGTTTTTATCCAAATGAATTACTTCGCTCCTTTATCACATCGAATACGAGGCGTTTCAAACTTATTTTATTTTGTCCTAATAATTTCGCTGGTATTTGTGTATACTAACCCGTTGCCACCATGTTATGTTTTAAATCTCTTTTTCTTTTTTTTTTTGACAGTTTTAATGGCCACTTTAAAGATGACATGGCGTGGCTGCTACTGGTACCGTTCATAACAACTGGATGTCTTCTGTTGATTCTTCATGGTTGGACACAAGTGAATGCAGATGTTCTGCCAACGATAATGACGGGGAAAAAGCGATAGCAGTAAATGCTGAAGAAACAAAGAAGGACACTCAAAAACTACAGATATGCTCAGTTTCCATGGTGTAACAGGACAACCAGAGTGTAAACAGGGATATGTGTAATGGACAAAGAAACGGCGTTCTCCATGAAGTCGAACAGAAAATTCTCCTACCATGTGGCTTTATAGCTCAGTAGATGGTAGCACCCTCTGGCTTCCGGCAGGTACAGGTTCAAGTTCCATCAAGTTTTGGTCATTGATTTCTTCAGTTGCTTCGAGTGCAGTATTACTGAGGGCATCAAGCCATCTCTTCCTCAGTCACTCATCGTACTTAGTGCCAACAAGAACGTTTGGAGAAAATAGGAAGACTTTACGAAAAGACTATCGAGAATGGAATCGATTGAATGTAACTGATTTATCTGTGTCATCGCTTTGGGGAAAAATAGTAGCCAACAGAAAGAGTGGTAAAGAACAGAAACCTACTCTGAAGTCCTCCTTGGCTCCGTTCATCCCGTAAATATCATTTTAAAACCAAGCGACATAGTAGGGATGAAGTAGTTTTTTTTAAAATGTAAACTGCGAATTAGACAACCTTCTCGTTCATGTCTAATATACACCAATACCTAGTTCTTTTTTCGTATTTTTATGGACCGTGGCGAAATCAAGGTCCACAAAAGTACAAAAAAAGAACAAGGGTAATATCCAGTATCTTAACCGAACAAGCTTCAGAATATTAGCACATAAGCGCGGGTGGATATGGAGTTTCTCTTTGATCGAGTGCCGAACTCGATACTCACGAGTGAGCGCCTCGTGAGTCCCCAACATTTTGACCACTGTGATAAAAAATGTTGGATAAGAATACAGACCACGCTAAACCACTGACGATATTGTCAATTGGCAGTGGACATTCCGTGAGGTGGTTCTTCTTGTCCTCGGTTTCCAGGTCGAACAGAAATATAGGATATTGTGGAGGAAGGGAAACCGGAAGACCCGGAGAACAACCCTTCGAGCAAGGACGGGAACCAACGACAAACTCTACATTTGACACCAGCGGCACATTTCTCGAAAGGCCCTGTAACTTAACGGGCCCGTAAAGCTGTTCTGTTTCCATTCAAGAGAAGGTTTAAAACATTTCGAAAATTATGCGATAAAACTTGCAGCTAAAGAAACAAAATTGGACTGGTGAGGGAGCCAGAAACTGATTTTTTATTGTTTAGAGGCTTTAATCTAGCTGTACTAGCAATACAGATTAATCAGAGACTTTAAAGGGAAACTTGCGGTGAAAGAACTCTCGTGTAAGAATTACAGTGATTGTCGCATTTTTTAGCGATTAAATCACTTGCTCGGTATGTTTATCGGCTATCCCAACATCTGTGTGGGAAATAATGGATTGAAAATAAAAACTGTAGAGTTGATTAAAAATAGTGGCCCGTAACGAGGACAATATCGTTATTTAAGCACTGAATGTTACTCTGGTTTCTAAACGAGGCCGAGAACGTGGAGCGCAGCCGGTACAAAACTAAACACATAGTTTAATTACTCTGGCGTCTTTATTTTCATTTAGCGCGTGAAAAACCGTCTGCCTCTCATCAGGCTAAGCCAACTGTGATTTAGTCACTCGTGTTTTCACGTGCTTTTTGTATCGTTTGGAATTCTTATGGGATTTCTGTCATATTTTCTTTTGATGTAATCAAGTAACTACTTGGTTTGTGGTTTCAGGATATGTTGCCGCCAAAATTATTGGGTGTTCATTTGGACGTTATTCATTTTTTCGCCTTTGTCGCTTTTTCAATAAGTTCTTTTGTTTTCATGCACGTTACTTTCATCGATATTGTTACTTTTTTTTGCAAAATTTCTCTTTGTTTGGGTCATTCGTACAAGTTCTTTACCTAAATTTTATTCATTCGACTTAATCGTTTAACTTGCACTGTTCCATCGTTTTCTTCATCGTTTTATATTATCTTTAACCAGCCAGGATCTCGTACAACGTTTGTAAGTGTCTTTAGATGTCCTTTATTTTGTTTCCCGTTTGTCGATTTCTTTACGTAATATTATAGGTAACTTGTTACTTGTTATTTTTATTTAGCAACCGCTTCAAATGTTCATTTCACTCCAATTGTTACCTTCGCTTCAATACTTGAGTTTGTTGAAGAATGTTTGCCTTCAGGTCGCACGTCTCCAAAGTTGTCGTTTTCACTATAAACACTTAGGGCCTGTTTACGTGGAGGTGGGGGACCCCAGGAAGGTGAGGTAACCCGCCTAGGTGGGGTAACTGACCGGTCCATATTATTTCTTATTTTATTTTGATCACGTTTACATGGTAGGTGGGGTGACCCGCCTAGGCAGGTTGCCCGGTCTGCCACGTAGGGTAACCCTCTCAGCCGGGGTGACAATTTGCCATGTAAACGTGTCAAGGTGGGGTAACCCGCCTGGCCGGGGTCGCGTTCATGGCAAAAAGCTCAAAAGCGAAACGTGTATGTTTTAAAACTTTGTGCATTTCCTAGCCGTCTCATGGCAGAAATCACCAGAAACCGCAATGGTCACACAAGGATTATAAAATGTTCACATTTCGGAATATCTAGCGTTGTAAATCGACTATATTTGGTTTCCCAAACTATTCCGTATAACGTATTAAGTCAACGGTTCCTCGCGTAACCAAACACCGCGTAACACAACGCGTGACGCTTTCATGAATAAATACATATGTGTCCGAGAATTAATCTTTCGTCTTTTTCGAGATGTGAGCTTGGGACACCTCTGCGCAAACTCCTTAGTTGCAAGGGCAACAACAACCTCGAAGAACCTCACCCTAGCTCCCTGGGGTTGTAAGATTGCATGTAAACGCGTTTTCTTTTTCGACCACGGCACGGCGGGTTACCTCACCTACCTGGGGTCCCCCACCTCCATGGAAACAGGCCTTAGAAACGAGGTTATCACATGATAAATCTTTTGCGAATCGACTTCAGGTGAGACGGGTCAACTTTGCTTATGACGAGTCGAGTCGACCCCTGCAAATCGTGTCGATTCGTCAACATTGAATACCCGAATTTAACGCTTACTTATGCGAATCGACTTCCGGTGACAGATCGACTTTACTAATGACGAGTCGAGTCGATCCGTGCGAATCGTGTCACATATGCTGGATAGTATGCTGTTCACTTTTGCATAGATGGCAAAAATCATCAGATATTACGTTGGCCGTTTTGAGTTTGTCTTTGGTGTAAATGGCGAAAGTGATTAAGAATACAGTTTTCGCGTCATTAATCATTAAAACGATTCGCAATGAACCAGTAGCGAACGTCAGCAATGTACTCCTCACTCACACAGACAGCGTTAATATCCGAATGGATAGAGGAAGGTCGGAAAGAGAGGTCAATCTGAGTGTCGTCAGCATACCCATGGATGGAAGGGAGGTGTTGAGAAAGAATGTTAAAGAGGTGGGAGACGTAGAGAGTAAATAAAGTAGGCCCCATACAACTACCCTGGGGGACTCCACAGTTCAGATTAAAGTCTTCCGAAGTCACATCAACAACAAGTATATGTTGTTTAGCTTTGTTTGCAACCAGACAGAAATGAGTCGATCCAATTTAAAGCAGATCCAACGACTCCAAAATCCTGTTGCAAGGTCTTCAGGAGAATGGAATGTTCAGTGGTGTCAAAAGCAGCACCAAGGTCCAAAAGCACGAGAAATGTCACTTCCTTGTAATCTATACTCATTAAGATGCATGTCATTTTGAACCCCTAATGGGACAGTCTCCGTCGAGTGAAACTTACTTTTTTCACAGTGGTTGAGAAGTTGTCGAAGTGCAGATTACTGTATACACTCGACGCTACATCAAATAAGGCTTTTCTGACCACAGTGTTATCGAATTGACTTCTTTTTCATCGGTTCAGAAACAATTTTCGATGCCTTTCGCCATTTTGAAAAGTCATTTGATAAAATCGCCCAACTCGATCGATTAATTTCACTGGCGACTCGCTGTGGAAAGGGGAGAAAATCGCGGGACTTGGCGAATGCCGGTATATTTAATAGCCGATATATGACATGCCAGATATCGGCGATTTTGTACCCCGATCGCGGCGGAAAATCGTAATTGCCGCACCTGGCACACCAGGCGATTTTCGCCGATCGCCACGATCAACGTATAAAATCGCTTGGTGTGTCACCGGCTTTCAGGTGAAGTTAGAAAAATTATGGCGGACCAAGGAGAGAACGAAACAACCGACAGAACGCGGCAAAACTCAGGACGTGTATGTAATTCAAATAGTCAGTACTTAACAGTCACTTAAAGCTGTTTTTCGGAAAGATATTGAAAATCTCTCGGGCATTTGGGAAATTTCTAATTTTGAAAATTAAATTATTAAGAGTTCAGTTCACCGGAATGGGGAAGTTTTCATTTGACGAAGGGCGGCATATTGTCACATCTTTTTATTCTGAGGGGTTCTCTTATTATAATTTGGGTTACAATCCACATGTAAAGTTACCAGCTAGAAGTTGGCTCTATAAAGGACTTACCTAATTTTCAATTGAAAAGCTACGATAAAATATGTAGAATTTGCATCTTTTGTGTCTTAAGCTCTGAATCATTTAATTTGAATACTAGAAAGCACTGAAAATGGAAATCTGAACTTTTCACTTTGTTCCTTTCATTTGTATCATCTCGATGATAATATTCCAACCATTTTCACAAGTTAAAGGTTCATGTGATCAAGTCATGGAAAAATTAATTCCCTCAGCAAGATTCATTAATTAAAAGTACACCAGGTTTTAGATGAAATGGTCTTGATTCACTCATTCTCTTTCATAAATGGTGGGCTAATAGCTTTTCTGGCCTCTATAATACACTTTAAAACAGTAGAAGATAGACCAAGAGGGCTAATTTGAATGCGCAAATGAGGATGATGATCATGCCTGCTATATTGTGAAAGTGGACTTTATTCACTAGGGTTACTGTGCAATTGCATTATAAGAACTGAACAATAAGATTCCAAATAAAGTCCACTGTGCCAATCAGTGCATGGGACCAAAGCAGGTAAAGATGAAGAAGATCAATTTAGCTGGATTTCATTATTCCTTCCAACAATCAGATTTTTCAGTTCTTCATAAGTAATCTTGTAGGTAACACTGTTTAGCAACTGTGAGCAGTACATGAAAACATTTATAAAATTTGTTTCTTCAAATAAAGAAATGTTTAGATTTGTCATTAATTATGGATACACGTCCTAATCCAGAGGATTGATATCCTGCTTAAGTATTGTTTGGATGTCATGGAATTCCAGGGTTTGGTTGCCATCTTGTTGTTGCTGGCTGGTGTTAATCTTAGCTATTGCAAGTGTTGTGATGAAAGATGAATGAACCACATAAAACTATGCCAAGCATATCATCAAGTTGTAATTTTATTTTGCCTTGATTACAAAATCTCACAAGCTCTTTCGTGTATTCATGAGAAATTATACCTCCAGTTGCAAATTTTTTAGTGTGTGCCTTCTGCCATTTGGAAAACTCATGTGATAATATTGCCCCACTTGATTGGTTAATTTTATTGGTGACTCGCAGTGGAGAGGGGAGAAAATCGCGAGAACAGGCAGACTTGCATATTTTAGTGTGTTAGCTAGCCAAAATGTTCTGTTTGGTGATATGTGTTGGAGAGTTTCAAAGTTGAGCGAAGCAACCAACCAGATTTGTCACATTATCATGACGCTGTCTTGATCTTCTTTTTTGGTTTTTAGTATGGGATCAGAACAGTGTGTGTGGTCATTAACTCAAACAAAAAAACTGGAGATGAGTCAAACCAATTTAAATTAACAACTTAGAAGTTGTCAAGGCATGGTATGACAAAATTTGTGCATGTGCATTATGATATTATGCAGAGTGAAAATAGACCTATAAATGCAAACTTCCAGTCTGTAGTCTTTATATGTAAGATGTTACGCCAGTAACTAACGGCGTAATTTCTTCCAGTCGGTAGTCTTTATATACTGTTAGATTTACGCCGTTAGTTAACGGCTTAAAATCTTACATATATATACACCGACGCAGATAGTAGCATAAAATCGTACAGTCTGTACTACAGTCGGTAGAAGTAATAGAAGTAAATTCTCAGGAAGAGAATTCCACAGTAACGCACCGCTATAGCCAAAGCTACGTTTCAAATAGTCAGTACGCGGCTTGGGTAAGTTTAACTTACGGAAAGAATCACGCAAGTCATAGTCTGTGTGTTTCTCACTGAATAAATCATGCAAGTACACTGGGGCTAACCCGTTGAGGGATTTAAACATCGTTATAGCTTTCTGCTTTCTTCTTAATAATAGCTGGTCCCACTTCAAAGTTTCAAGAAGCAGGCTTGAGTTTACCTCACAGTTGGCTTGCAGAATAACCCTAGCAGCTCGGTTTTGCAATTTTTGTAGTTTCTCACGTAGATAAGAACTCAAT